TGGCAATTCTGAGGCCAGTGCTGGAAATTTAGTAAGATCCTTTCTCAAAAAAAATTTCAAAAAGGGCTGGGGATAGCTCAGGGATAAAGCATTCCTGGATTCAAATTCCCTGTGCTGGGGTGGGGGGGGGGGGACTAAAATTAACATAATACAATTTAATTATTGAAGAATTCAGGGATGAAGTAAGTGTGGAGAAAGAAAAGGATGGAATTGGAGTCGAGAGTAGTACCTATAAGATGTCAGAAGATTCTTTTGTCTGCTAGAAGAGATCCATACATTTGACTCTCATCCTTAGCATCTAATGCAAAGAGAGAAATAGTTATTTCTGTGCTCTGTGGAATTTTAAAAAATTGTTTTTGTAATAATACCTGAGAACCAAGAAACATACTGTGATGTTGTGTGATTTTTTTTCTAATTAGCATAATGATTTTCATGGAGCAATTTCATAGAAAGTTCATCCATACATGGTATAGTTTGTCAGTCTCTGCAAAAAGCCTCATAATCTAATCAGCCAAGAACTTTCAACTTCTCTCTAGAACAGTGTTTTGTGATTTTTTTTTTAAGAGAGAGAGAGAATTTTTTAATATTTATTTTTTTTTTAGTTTTTTCAGCGGATACAACATCTTTGTTTGTATGTGGTGCTGAGGATCGAACCCGGGCTGCACGCATGCCAGGCGAGCGCGCTACCGCTTGAGCCACATCCCCAGCCCAATGTGTTTTGTGATCTTTAAAAACCTCATGGCTACTGTGCATGGTGGTGCACAACTATAATCTCAACTTGTAAGGCTGAGGCAGAAGGATCACAAGTTTGAGGCCAGTCTCAGCAACTTTTGAGACCCTGTTTCAAAATAAAAAGGGCTAGGCATGTAGCTCAGTGATTGTACCACTGGCTTCAATCCCCAGCACCAAAAAAAGAAAAAAGCCCACTCATGGCCTTTTAGAAAACATGAAAATCTCATACCTCGTTTTCATTCTGATAAGTACTTCCCTCTTATCCTCATCAATGAAGAATATTTTAAATTTCTTTTTCTTAAGTTTGTATTATAAAAACAATCTTCTTTTCTCAATAGCTATGTTATTATTTTGAGTATGACTTTCAAACCATATGTGGAGTATAGAATTCTTTTCTTGAAATTGGTCAAGAGTTTAGGTAGATGTGCTGGCATTTTGGTTTATCAAACACCTTAAGATATAATAGGCATGCTGCCAGAGCTAGGCCCTATTGTGTAAGCACTGTGGTCTTTGCTGCTAGCAAGCGAACATTTCCCTCTGTCATGGGCTTCAGATTTAAAGCGGGTTTTGCTTTCCTAGGATCCAGCTAATAATATTGAGTACTTAGAATGTGCCAGATGCTCTGCTAAGTGCTTTATAGTTTACAACAAACACTTTCTCTCATTTTATAAATCTCAAAATAACCTCCATCCTACAAAGGAGAGAGGTCAGGAGAAGTTCAGGGATTTGACCAAGATCTTCTAATGCATATATGGCAGAATCAGACTTGAGCTGTGTTACTTTTACCACAGCACCATGCTGGAGGTCTTAATCCGGTTATTTTACCCTGTAAAGTCAAATGGGAATTTTTGATTGGCCGAAGGTTTTTCCTCCTCAGATTTGCTCAGATTATTAATACTTAGATTCTCCACCAGATTTCCAAGCCTTTTTAACCCTCTTTGGAGTTGAACGCATATTTACTTCAATTATGGAAATGTCTCCTTAAATACATGAATATTACATGCAAGTAATTATGAATTATTAATGTTGCCTGGGGCTTCTTGCTTTCTTAGGTTTTCATGGTGTCCCTGAGCACTTGAGCCATTTAGCTGAACAGTAGCTTCTTAGCCACTGTTGAAGTGTTCATCCTTTTTCATTAGATGTAGGTCTTTCTTTCCTTCCTGAGTTCTTGTTTTTTGTTGTTGTTTTGGTTTTGATTTTGGTTTGTTTGTTTGTTTGTTTAGTACTAGGGATTGAACCCAGGTGCACTTAAGCATTGAGCTACACCCCCAACCCTTTTTGACAGGGTCTAAGTTGCCAAGACTGTCCTTAAATTTGCAATCCTCCTGCCTCAGTCTCCTGGGGAGCTGGATTACAAGCATTTGGCCATCTGTGGATTTCTTCTTAATAGTACTTCTTAATGGTTACTGTTCTGATCTTACAGAACAGCTAAAACCCCTATGTATTCCCCCTGACTTCAGGAAATTCTTTCACAAATCCCTGACTCTCCCTTCCTTTCTCCTTTCTTGAAGATTCTATTCTTTTCCTGATTTTATAAACTCCTTTTGATTGTAAAACTAAAGAGCAGGACCTGAGCATTCCCAAGATGTTTCTCTTCATTTCTGCAGGCCACACAAATGGAGAACTGTGTGCAGAGGTCTACCAGGACAGACTTCACACTGTCCTGCTCTACACAGCTCTAGTTTCTGAGACTTCACCTAGACTCATTTATGTCTAATTTAAATTTCTGCTTTTCCCTTTTCTGTCATCCTCTGTACTTGTGTTACAAGTCTACAGTCTGGTTTTCTTCATTTGTTTCCCCTCTCTTACTAACTTGCTTTCTATGTGAGTTAACTCATTTATAAAATGGGCATGGTACTAGTCTTTTCTACTTCAAATCCACGCTGAGAATCAATCATGTATCAACAGACATGAAAGTGTTTTTAGAAAACAGGCAAAAAAGACTGAGTTATGAAAAGGTGTTACTTGTAATTGATTTCAATGTAATGAAGACATGAAAAAACATTAATATTTATGTCCTTTATTTCAAACTGTTTTGGATTTTAAAACTTGGTGCAGTTTAAAGGTTTGGTTTTTGTTTTTGGTTTTTGGTGCTAGGGATTGAACTCAGGTGCACTCAATCACTGAGCCACATCACCAGCCCTATTTTGTATTTTATTTAAAGATAGAGTCTCACATTTGCTGAGGTTGGCTTTGAATGTATCAGAGGCCTTCCAGGCCTCTGAGATTATAGGCATGCACCACTGCACCTGGCTACTTTAAATGTTTTGTTGATGCTAGTTATAATGGGATTTGCCATATAGCTTTCATCCCTTTGGTTATCCTTTGATCATCCTGTGAATCTTCTCCCCATTTTCCACGGATGTTCTTGAATGTTGTAGAATTCTGGAAGGGTCATGAGTAAACCCTGAAGATATGATGAAACCCATATACTTTGATATGAAAACACACTGTGAGTCTCTCCCCGTGGGATGAAACCTTTGGTCTTCCCTTGTCATCAGCATGTATATAGGGAATATATGTGATGAGCAGTTGAAGTCCTCATGCTAAACCCAAAGCCTAGCACTGCCTTGGACTAGCCATCCTTTCTGCGGTAGCTCCTTCCACTCCCCCAGGGAAGCCCAGTCTCTTGGACAGTGTTATATAGCTGGCTTTGGAGCTGCTGCTTTTTCTGGGTCCTCAGGGACCCTTTTTTCCTGTGCTGGGCTGACATTTCAAATAGTCCTGAGGGCTTCTGGAGCCAATCTCAGAGCCGTGAACCTGGGCTTGTGTTAGAGGAAGCTTAGCTTAATATAAATAAATCTGTAAGAAAAGGTCACAGGTCACTGTCAGGAAAGAAGTAAAAAATACAGTGTTCACTCCCTTTCCTCCCTGAGAAATTGAAGCCCAACTTGGTGTTGAAATGGGATGGTAAAACAGGAGTGGGTCTGAGAATTTGGGGAGATCTGTATCTGCCCTCACAGCTTTGGGGACCTGATACAGTGATCCCAACAGACCTGAAGCCAGACTCCAGTGAGATATCTAAGCAAGTGACTCTTTCATCCTGTTTCCACCAGTTAAGGGAGAGAAACATAAAATAATTTCGTTCAAGCATTTAAGCAAGTAAGAATCACTAAATATGAGCTTCCACTAATTTTTACATCCATGGACCAGAGAAGGTAGGATGGGAGTGTAATGGATGCAAAGGGAATGATTATTATAGGAAGGTGATAAGAGCTATATCTGCACACCATGGGGATCTGTGACAAGAAAGCAGAGAGGTGTAAATGCCAGGGCCAGAGTAATAATAGCAGGTGTCATTATTAAGTCAGAAAAAATAATTCTTAAAGATAATTGTAGTAAGCTCTGTCACATTCATACTGTCCAGTGTCCAGCAAGGAGCCCAGGGCTTGGCCCACACCCCACTCTTCCATCAGTCTCTCCTTGTACCATTTCTAGTGAGAGGGATAGCTCTCTTGGGAGTAGGGAATTTGACTCCCCTCCTGCTGTGGCATTCATGGGGCTCTGATTATTGGTGTTCAGTAAATGTTTAAGAAAAAATAAATGGGGGCTGGGGTTGTGGCTCAGCAGTAAAGCCCTCGCCTAGCACGTGTGAGGTGCTGGGTTCAATCCTCAGCACCACATAAAAATAAATAAAAGTATTGTGTCCAACTATAAAAACTAAAAAATATTTTTAAAAAAAGAAAAAGAAAAAAATAAATGGGATTATTCTGGAGCATAGTGTCTTTCTCTTCTCATTAAGTGATACCACTAATCCAAAAGTTCTTTTCAAGTAGGAGGACGTTAGTGCTGGGTGTGAAAGGGCAGGTCCTATAAAACTGCTGCTTCCTGCCACAAAATAATTGTGTTTATGTAAAACTATAAAAAATAAGGCGAGGGCTGGGGTTGTGGCTCAGTAGTAGAGTGCTTGCCTAGCACATGTCAGGCACTGGGTTCAATCCTCGGCACAACAGAAAAAATAAATATATAAATATATTGTGTCCATCTACAAGTAAAAAAATAATGATTTTTTAAAAAAGATGATTTAGGGCTGGGGTAATGGCTCAGTGGTAGAGCGCTTGCCTAGCACATGTCAGGCACTGGGTTCAATCCTCGGCACAACATAAAAAATAAATATATAAATATATTGTGTCCATCTACAAGTAAAAAAATAATAATTTTTTTAAAAAAGATGATTTAGGGCTGGGGTAATGGCTAAGTGGTAGAGCGCTTGCCTAGCATGTGTGAAGCACTGGGTTAGATTCTCAGCACCACATACAAATAAATGAATAAAATTAAGGTCCATCAACATCTAAAAAAAAATTTTAAAATAAGGCGATGTGGTTATTTCCATTTTATACTTGAAAGTGAAGTAGAGTTGGTCCAATGCTCTTTCCTCTCCCCGGACCCACAGATGTCTGCCTCCTGCCTACGGTTAAGGCGGGCCCTCCAGCGGATGCCTTCTCCCGGGAGTGGGACGGACGAGCCAGATGCTCCAAGAATGAGGGGTGTCGAGAATTAATTATGGAGCTCCTCTGGTGCCTGGCCCTTGCCTGAGTGGCATAAAGATGCCCGTGCTGTGCAGGAGGAGGACTTCTTTGCCCCACTTTTAGTCTCCTAGAGAAGCTCAGGGTTTGAAGTTATTACTTGGTGGCCAAAAGCCAGCGGCCGTGGCGAGCAAGGTCCCGGAACTGTCTTGCTGCGGGGGCGGCGGGAGGGTAGGAGGCTCAATCCAGGACCCATGGAGGAGGCAGTGCCCACCCCGCCAGGAGCAGGTGCGGGGCGGGGCCGCTACCGGCGGCAGGGCGGGGCTCCTGCTGCAGCTCCGCCCCAGGCGCAGGTTTAAAAGGAGGGAAGGCGGGCCCCTGGAGCCAGCTGCGGGCGCGGGCTGGCAGACGGAGCTGTAGGTACGGCCATGGCCCGGCACGCGGGGGGCGCTTGGTGGCTTAGTGGCCTCCTGCTCTTCGCGCTGCTGGCAGCCGGTGTCGCCCCGCTCAACTGGGATCTTCCGGAATCCCGGGGCCGAACAAGCAAGATCCGAGTGCACCCGCGGGGCAACCTCTGGGCTACCGGTAAGTCTTAGGGGACCCCAGCAAGCGTCCCTCACCCCGCTCTGGCCCCGTTTCTTTCTCAACACTGTGGCCCCTCCTAGTGTCCGAGCACGTGGGGATACTAGGGGATCATCTAATTTAGTAGATAGAGAAGTTGAGTAATTTGGCTAAGATAGTAACTTGGCTAAGATCTCTTAGCAAGTTTAAGGCAGAGCTGGGTTTGAATCCTAGGTCGACTGCCAACCGGTGTCCTTCCCTTAAGCAAGACTGCTTATAACCTCTGGTGTGTCTTTCTGCACATTCATCTTCCAGGCACCTCTTCATTCCCTACTTCTTTCCTTGCCCTTTTCTGACCCTCCTCCAAGCAAGCAGTACAACTGGCAGTTTCCCCCTGGTCCTAGTTTGTCCCACCTTCCTTCCAACTGTGCTGTCCCTACACCTGTTCAGGAAAAGCTGAGGTAGCAGTCTTTGTCACCACCCCAATGTCTTTGTGGCTCCTTGGTGAAGAGAATGAAGGTTTCCTGTCTTCCTTCCAAGAGAAGTGAAAAGTGGGAAAGATGGGGAACTTTCCCACTGGGGCAGGATTCTCACTCCCTGACTTCCATGTACCTGGGCACCTCCTTTCTAGGTCACTTCATGGGGAAGAAGAGTCTGGAGTCCCCCAGAGCATTCCCGTTGGGGACAACTCCCCATACCTCCCTGAGGGACCAGAGACTGCAGCTGAGTCATGATCTGCTCAGGATCCTACAGATAAAGAAAGCTCTGAGCATGAGCTTCAGCAGCCCAGCACCCCAAACCCAGGTGAGCCAGGCCTCCACCCCAATACCAGGATGGTTTAGCTAAGGCCACCTAGGATCCAGCATGGAGGAATTACCACCCAGGATTGGGTGTGATTACACAGCCAGGGCATAATGGGTATAAACCCCAGAAAGCCAGGATTCTGGGCCCTCCCTGTGTCCCAAGGCTTAAAGGAGACACTCTCCAAAGAAAGGAAGCTGACCTTCCCACCAGACTCCATGGAGCAAGAAGTAGGGGAATGAAGTTCCCCATCCTCAGTCTAAAGTCACAGGCTGGCCTCTTGGCAGCAGAATCTTCTCCCCTAACTACACAGCTTTGTTCCACTCCAGATGTCCCCTACTATATAAACCAAGTGTACATTTGCTGTGCCTTACATATGGTTATGACCAGAGCTAGGACCCTGAGAACCAGAGAGGGCAAGAGAAGTCAGCAACCAAGACAGAATTAAAACCTTGTTCACGTTCACCAGTGCTCTTGACATTCTAGGCTGGATAATTCTTTGCTGTGGGCATCCCTGCACATTGTCGGATGTTTAGCCATGTCTGTGGTTTCTACCCACTAGATGTCAATAGCACCTTGCCTCTCCTAAGTTGTGACAAACAAAATTATTTCTGAGCCAGGTGTGGTGGTATACACCTGTAATCCTGGCAACTTGGTAAATTGAGGCAGGAGGATCCCCTGAGCCCAGGAGTTTGAGGTCAGCCTGGGCAACATAGCAAGACCCTGTCTTTAAAAAAAAAAAAAAAAAAAACTTCCAGACATTGCCAAGTGTCTCCCAGAGTGGGGCAAATCACTCTTGGTGGTAAACCAACGATCTATGGGGTTCAAGGTCCTAAAGCTGGAAGTAAGCCACCCTTCCTGGCTAGCAAGGGTGGGTGGCTGCTCCTCCATTTGCTGCTCCCAGTGCTATCCCTACTGCACACACCCTCCTTGGTACTGTTACCATGTGCAGAAAGCAGTGTGATGTGGCAGAATGTGGGCTCTGGCCACTGTGCTGGGCTCAAAACCTAGCTACTCAATAGCTATATAACCTTAGAATGTCACTTACCTACTCAAAGGCTCATCTTCCTCATCCATAAAGTGGAAATACAGTCCCTTCTCCCATTATGTCATTTGTGCAGCATGGTGCTGACACATAGAAAGCCCTCAGTAAACAGGAGCACTTACCAGTACTTTCTGGCAGTACCTGTTGGTGCCTCATTTTTGTATCTGCCACTGTGTCTACCATAAAGTATGCATATGTTGAAAGAAGAGAGGGGCATTCCCTAGAAAAGGTTTAGCCCCAGCCCACATCCCTGACTTTCAGATGCATAGCTCCTGGGAACCTCACATAATAAGGACTAGGAGGTTGGGCTGGCTATCTGAAGGAAGACTATTATCACCTCTAGGGCCATGGAATTTGAAGGCCTAAAACGTACAGATTAACTAGAGAATCCCTAGCTATGGGGCTGGGGGAACTTGAGGGAGGTCTGGGCAGAGCTTGGGGTAGGGGGAATAAGGACACTGACAATGGCCCAGTGCCAGACACCATACTTTTACTTGACTTCCATGATCTCCTTTAATTGTCATGCCTGCCCTGTGCTATTGGGGCTGTGTTCTGAGAAAACCACCACCCCTAATTCCTCTCAGGACTTTCAGAGAGAAAGTGCTCCGTGGCCTGCCTCAATTGAGAGTCTGTCTCTGCCCCCATCTGCAAACACCCAGCACTTAGAAATGGCAGCATGGCTTTATCATTTTCCCCTCTCCCCAGGTCATTTCTTCTCTTTGTTTTCCTTCAGTACAGGAGGCTGCTGGTGCAGATACTGCAGAAGTGATGCCAGTAATGGGGCAGACACAACATGGCTTAGATTGTGCCCACCCAGGCAAGTTGCTGAATGGAACCCTAGTGGTGGCCCCATCTGGATGTAAATCCTGAGCTTGAATCTGTTATTCCATTACTGTGATTTCCGTTTGGTTCGCCAGAAATATTGCAGTTGCAAACACAACCTATGTTCCTGCTGTTTTTCTTGCTTCTCTGATGAAGTTGTGAATAAAACCCTGCTGTTTATATATAGAATGCATGGTCCTCTCTTTCCAGCCACGTTTAAGGGAAGGGAAGAGGAAGGGAACTGGAGGGTGGGGTGTTCAGTGAAATGGGGTGGGCTCTAAAAAGCCCGGGACACCCCCATGTCTGGCATCAGCCTGGCAGTGACTGAGCTCTTACTCCATTCATTCAGCAAGGACTTACTCAATGCCCACTGTATGCTGGGTCTCCTTCCAGTTGCGGGATTCTTCTCTCGCCTCTGCCACCTACTGGTGCAGGCAAATGTCTCTTCCGTTTCCTCGCCTCTAACGAGGGTACTACACTATACTAACACTACACTACTGGGCTTTACTTAATCTCATCATATTTCATTTCCACGCCAAGTTTCTAGAGGAATACCTAATGCGTGGAGAGAGAGAGCCTGGTGAGATTCCAGACCCCGCTATCTGCCTGCTCTCTTCTCTGAACTTAAGTAGAGTTGCCAGAGTTAGCAAATAAAAAATGGACACCAGGTAAAATTCGAATTTCAGATAAAAAAAAATTTTCGTGTAAAATGTCCTAAAAATTGCATGGGCATACTCACACAAAGAATATTGTTCATTGTTTATCTGAAATTTCAGTTTAGCCGGATGGTTTTGTAATATTCCTGGCCTTGGGATACTGACCGCCGTTTTCTGGGCTGCAAATACCTGGATCTAAAACAGGTATTTGGTCCGTCCAGCCCTGCTCCGAGCGAACATCGGAGTCTTTCTTCCCTTTTCCGGGAGCTTTTCCCCAAAGATTTCCCAGCACAGCCCAGCGAGGGCGGGGCGCAAGGGCAAGCCAGCTGGGACACCGCGGGCCCCGCCCGCCAGAGGGAGGCCACGCCCTCTCCTCGCGAGAGGGCCACGGATGTCCTGGAAGGCTTGGAAGCGGAAGCGGGGTGCCGGAAGCGGCAGTTGCCATGGATCCCGCGGAGGACTGGCTTGTGGAATCCTTGCGCTTGTAAATCGTGAGGGATTGGGAGCTGAGCCTGGGCCTGAAATGCGTCTGGTGGGCGGATGAGTGTGGGTGGAGGCACTTAGGGAATCCTGGTATGAGGGGGACGCGTGGCTGGGTCTATGCGGAATGACTCTTCTTGGGCCTCGGATTTTTTATCTGGAAAATGGCCCGTTCTGCGTGCTAGTGGTGTTAAGAGCTGTGCTAGTGATGGATAATAATACCAACACAGATGATCAGTTATTTTGCTCCATCCTCTAGGTTAAACATTGAACACAGATTAACTAATTGGATCTTCACATCAACTTTGGGTGTCCTGGGAGTTCCAGAGATGAAAACCGAAGCTCAGGGCCTAGTGTTTGGCCTAGTCCCAGACACACGGGGTGTAAAATAGGAACTAAGACACAGTCCCTTGGGCTGGGGATATAGCTCAAGCAGTAACATGCTCGCCTGGCATGCGCAGGGTGCTGGGTTCAATCCTCAGCACCACATAAAAATAAAATAAAGATGTTGTGTCCACTGAAAACTGGAAAAAAAAAAAAAGGACACAGTCCCTTGTCTGCCTGACTCCAGATCCAGGTCCCTAACCACCGAATTCTGTTATTTTTGTCAGCTATACAGTTCCATGCATCGTGTGATTATGTCCCTTTTGTGCAGGTACCAGGATTTCCATGCATTCGACCTCTCAGGAGCCACACGAGTCCTTGAATGGATTGGTGACAAAGGTGATAAAACTTGCCTGGCCCTAAAGGAAATGGAATCACATTTCTCAGGCTGAGAGTCAGGGGCTCAGTCTAGAGGGACCCAGGATACTCTTCTGGGAGCCTGAGGACCTACTGGTCACTTGTTGAAATTTGGTGCCCCATCAGCATTTACCTTCCTTTTATTAAGACCCTCCATCCCCTGATTCAAGGCTGTACACTGATGGGGAAGGAATTTATCCCTGATTGGGCGGATTTGGCAGGAATTTATAGATCCACCCATTGTCTATAATAATCTTCCTAATGATTTGTCACAGCTGCTTCTTTTTTCCAGGAGTCTTTGTTGCTGGCTATGAAAGCCTGAAAAAAAATGAGATTCTTCATCTGATACTACCTCTCAGACTTTCTGTAAAGGAAAACCAGGTAATTTGAAATATAAGTATATATGTTCATTTTTATTTATTAAGCATTTGAAAACTCCTGTTACACACCAGGTATTGTCCTGGATGCTGGAGAGACACACACACACAGTGGTCATGCCCTTACAGTCTACTAGAGGGAGACAAGTTTGAACAGAGATAAGTGTTATACAATCTCATGTGATTCACAGAGGGCTACTAGAGGAAGAGGTCAGTTTTATTAAAAATAGATTTGGGGGGTGGGGCTGTAGCTTAGTGGTAGAGCACTTGCCTCACATGCATGAGGCACTGGGTTCGACCCTCAGCACCACATAAAAATAAATAAATAAAGACATTTTAAAAAAATAGATTTAGGGCTGGCCAGATGATGCATGCCAATAATCCCAATGGCTTGAGAGGCTGAGACAGGAGGATCACAAGTTGAAAGCCAGCCTCACCAACAGCGAGGTGCTAAGCAACTCAGTGAGATGCTGTCTCTAACTAAAATACAAAATAGGGAGCTTGGGTTGTGGCTCAGTGGTAGAGTGTTCACCTAGCATGTGCGAGGCCCTGGGTTTGATCCTCAACACCACATAAAAATAAAGGTATTGTGTCCGACTACAACTAAAAAATAAATATTTAAAAAAATAAAATAAAATACAAAATAGGGCTCAGGATGTGGCTGAATGGCTAAGTGCCCCTGGGTTCAACCCCTGATACCCACTACCACCACCAAAAAAAATAGATTAGGAAGCCATTAGGGTATAGAAAGTAGTTGTAGTCCTTAGAATAGTTTAGATTGCCTAGAATAATATGTACTATATTAGATTAAGAGAAGACAGCTAAGGACAGAACTTCAGGAGACACAGTTAAAGGGACAGGTATAAGAATTGGAACCCACAAGAAATACTAAGGATAGTCTTTAATGTAGGAGGAGTTTCAGAAAAGGTCCAAATGCAAAAGAAGAAAACATGTCAAGAAGAGTCTATAGGGTTGGGGTTGTAGCTTAATGGTAAAACATTTGCCTAGTATAGTGAGGCCCTGTGTTTGATCCTCAGCACCAGATAAAAACAAATAAATAAAGGTCAAATTCTTTAAAAAAGAAGAAAAGTCAATAACTATGTAATGTTACTATAAAATCATTCAGGTGAGGATTGAAGTTTGTTTATTAGATTGGCAATTGGGAAGATCTTGGTGACCTCTGGCACAGCATTTTAATGATGGTCAGGGCCAAAGACTGAGAGAAAGGAGGAAGTGGAGATGCAGGAAGGGAAGAAATCAGAACAATAACTAGTCAGAAACAGACTTGAAGAGGGAGGATTTCCTAAAGCCAGAAGTGTTAGCAGAGTTACAACCTGAGGAGAAGTAGCTCTTAAAGAAGGAGAGAATGTAGATGTAGGAGTGAGGGAATAACAGGAAAAAAATTATCCTAACCTCCAGTGATAAAAAAAGATCCTGCTTCCCCAAAATGGGAAGGGTGAGGCATACAGTTAAATAACTGAAAGGCCATGTAGGAACAGGAATTTGAAAATGTTTGTTTATTTGTTTGTTTTTGCAATACTGGGGATTGAACCCAGGACCTTATACATGCTCTACAACTGAGCTACACCCTTAGCCCTTTAAAATTCTTTAATAAGAAACCAAGTTATCTTACAGGGTAACCATGGCATAGTTAAGCTGAAGGTTTAGAATAGATGACAAGGTAAACAGGAACCTATAAAGGGATTATTAAGACCAGGAGAGGCTGAGTCCCAGGCAGCCATAGCCCAGTGTTTCTCACAGTAGCCTGAAGACCACCTGTATCCAAGCTATTAAGGTTGCTGGCTAAAATGCAAATTCCTGGGCCCATTCCCAGACTGATTGTATTAGAATTTCAAGAGGTAAAGCTCAGAAAAATGCCAAGTGTTCCTTTGAAGAGCAGACTGTATCTGATTGGCCAACCCTTTGTATTTTAGGGCTTATTCCCAGAAAGAGATTTTAAATTGCGCCATGGCGGATTTTCAGATGGACCTGTCTTTGATCTAAAGCATGTGCCAGATACCAGGTATGGTCAGTTCTATGACTCAGACCTTCCATTTCAAGATGGGATGGCTGAAAATACCCAGGGGTGTCCTGCTTTTTTATTGCCTCCTCAGCTCTAACTGCACACAGACATGTGAATGTGCACACAGATCTAGAACATAAAACCATTATCTCCATACCTACTTTGATTAATGTAACCACCAGGTCACTGGAATTGCTCTAGGGACTAGATAGATACAGGATAAAAAGGATGCTCTTAATCTTTCAGAGAGCTGATGTATTAGATAGTTTGTGTAACTAGCTCAGTTAGAGGAAGCTAAGTTTGTAGGTCAGAGTTGTGTGTTCAGGCTCCTCATTGGTGTCCTCTCTAGATGGCTGAGCCTGAGCTCAGTCCCATGGCTCTCTATGAGCTGTGGGCCCATCCGCAAAGCAGAGCAAGCTGCTCATCTGTTAAATAAGGATGGCTGGTTTTGATCCTGCAGTACAAATTTTTGTTATGGGAGGTGAACAGATCCTAAGCTATGTGGACTGGAAAGGGGAAAGCTGTTGGGGTTTGGGGAGGAGCTCCCCAGTATCTGGACTGATTTTCTATCTATCCTGAATAGGTTGCTGGTGACCAGTGGCCTTCCAGGTTGTTATCTGCAGGTGTGGCAGTTTGCAGAAGACAGTGGTGAGTGAATTTCACCTGGTGGAGGTTGAGGTTTAAGGAAAGTATATGACTTACACACTCCTGCCTCCTACTCTTGAGTCAGGAAATATGTAGACTCTGAGTCAGGGGCAGGAGAATATAGAATCTACTTTTATGGTGGCAAAAAGACAAATTAGCAACCACAGCATGGCAGACAAGCCCCAAACGAATCTTCCCTGAACTTACTCCAAGAGTTGAGTTTACCCAACCCAGCCATAGATGGACTGCCCAGAGAACCACAGGCCT